ACAAACCGTTTTCACCATTTCCAGAACGGGGTATGCTCATGTGATGATTATTGGTAATTTTTTGTAGGACACCACAAAGCTCCTCCCAACATAATTGTTATAGATATTACCAACTTCCAAGGGAATGTATTTGAGAATACAAGGAAATGGCTTCATGCTTGGTGATTTATATATCACGTATTAAGTAAATTCATAAATTACTTGATTGTGCTCTGTTAGTTCTGGAGATTTTGTGTTAGTGCACAACCTTACTGCTGAACCCCCAACTTTCCTGTTCAACAGTCTGAGCTTCAAAGCTCAAAAGTGGATAAACTGGATTGTGGTGAACAATGACAGTGATTGTGATCTTGCTGTGAACATCATGAAAGAACTTGCATCATAATCTCGAAGCACTCAAGCTGATTGCGATTCGGATGATTTGCCAAATGACAAAAAATGATCAATTGAACACTTTTTCTTCAGCTGGAATCTGGAATCAACTTACAGTCTCATGTTGCCCAACAATAAAATCTTTTGTATGGTGTGGTTGCTTGTGAAGTTCATTTGGATTCATGTTAATAAGGCCGAGCAACAAAGGGTGAATGGAGATATAGAATTTATGTAGCAAATCCAGTATGGTTGAGAAAAATCTAAGTTGAGTTGAGTCAGTTGGATCTAAGGGGATTATTTTCCATATTCAATTCTACAAAAAAAATTGTCCTTTTCTTATCATTGACAGATGTCATGCTTCTTTTTTATGTTCATTTATATTATTCTCCTTTTCTTCCTTTAAACAAATGAAGTTGGAAAAATGCCAGACACAGATGAATTATCATGTCTAATTTCAGTTTGAATATCTAATACATGGCTCGGCTTCTTAGTTGGAAGAACAAAGAGAAGCACAGAAGAGATCTATGCACCATTGCCATCAACGTCAATCCTCATGGCAATGGCTTATGCAGCTGCATTTCCTATGGGCCATGCCATGTTGATGTCCCTGCTCTCTATGATGACATTTCCCTCGGGTGGCCGTTGTTTGCCGCGCCTTCCATCTGCATTCTCAGGTAAACCTCAACCCTCTTTTCAAATGCAATTTGATATTTATCATCAAGGGTTTCATGTTGTGTTTTAAAAAATGTGTGTTTTATGGTTCTTGTCGCTTATTATATTTCTCTAGGTCAATTTGCCATTCTATGCTCAACTAATTTGCAACAAAATTCATTTTTTGGGGGGCTTGGTGATAGCAGAAAAATATTTGATTCTGACCTATCATAACTGTTGGAAATATTCATACAAATGCCCTTTCAGTCCTTTAGTTTACAATTTACATGTAGAGGAAGAGGGATAATTTTAAAATTATTATCTCTTACTGAATCTCACCACTTGTGCTGATAAAAAGAAAAGGGGGATGTGAGGGGTTTTTGAATTTTATAATTTATTTTCATTGTCAACTATTTTAACTTGTCCAAATGAGAGAGAACTTCTCTCTATTCCTCGATGAACAGTTCACTTGGTGTTCCATTGGTGCCATCAACTGTCATGGCGAAAAAACATGAGGCAAACTTGGTCTTAAGAAATGCTGAAATGCCACTATCATTGCTGCCTGTCATCCCCATATCATCAATATAAACAACTAATAATATATGAAAATTCTCAAATGGAACTTGTTTTAAGATGGCAATTGTATTAAAAATACATAGTTCCAAGTGAAAGAGATGACAATATGTTGAGTTTTCTTATCATGACAGGAAACTCCAATATTTTTGTGATCTTCCCATCAGCATCATAGCACAGCCATTAAAAATTGTTTTCATGAGTTAATTTTCTCTGAAACAGCTTCCAACAGGTTGGCTCTGTTCCAGGCTAGTGCATCTCCATCAGAAGATACATCAGGATCCGTTGAACTTGGGAGGTATTCTCAAACTTGAAGGAAAAGCTTAGCTTCCCACTGGAATTCAAATTTCTTGAAGTTTGACATGCATCACTTCTTTGGCAACTTCTTCAACTGGTCTGTCTATCCTGATCATATTGACCTTGTCAATCACATTAGCATATCTTGGTACAAGGTGGCACAGCTACCTTTTTCCAAGAAAAATACAGAAATTTGAATACATTTTCGTAGAAAACTACCTTTTTAAAACCTTTTGTTTGAAAATGAATTCAAGAACATATTAGATTGGCGGTGTTTAATTCAGATGCCCTTGACAACAAGTCCTCATTCATTCTTTATGGAAGTGGAGCAATAGTTGCTATCTGGCTGTCTTCCGTCACTGTTGATGCTGTAAATTCAGTCCCCTTGGTAAGTGGTTGAATCGTTTTGCCTTAGTTTCAAATTCAGATGATCTCCTTGGTAATAATTGAAGCAAATTAAGATGTCTGGTTTTCCCGTTTGTTAAAATCTAACACTGTTTTTCTGTTGGTCTAATTATTCTCTGGATGTTTCACTCAAAACTGTTTTTACAATTACTTCTTCAATTACAAAATACAAATAGTTTCCAAAAGTGACGGAATTGATGGGGCTTGGATATACTGGATGGTTTGTCTACCTGTACCTTCTTTTCTAGGTAAAAGAACTGAAATTGATTTAGACATTAGAGAGGTGTTGAAGATGGAGTATGTCATTGTGACGTGTGAATGTGTTTTTGTCAGTCAAGCGGAGAGGAACTAGCTGCTGAAGTTGAAAATTTGAAGAAGAAGATTGCTGCAAATGAATAAACCATTACCAGATGGAAAGCAAGCCTTGTTATTAGCAGTTATTAACTTATTAGTTAATCACATATCACTGTAGATTTCCTCTATATCAGAAACTTGCCATCTTTTCAGTACTCTATCCAGGATTCCGGGATGATTCTGTGTCGTTTGAGAACATAATCAGTACCTCACTAATTTTCTTTCTCATTAAAAAAAATGAAGAAGAAGAAAAAGAAAAGAATAGTTCTCTTCTTCCATTTTTTCTTCAGGAAGTTGCAGGAAGTATGTCATTAGCCGGAGAGTTTTACTCAAATCAAGGGCGCTTACCCTCAAGCATGAAAGAATAAGGTTGACAGCTACTCAGGAGCTGTTTGGTTAAGCATGGAATAAAAAAAGTTAAAAACTAAAAAAAAAAAAAACTGAAAATTAGCGTTTGCAGAATTTGGTCTTACCCTGTTTTGTTAGTCTCTTTTATTGATTTACTTATTTTGTTTTCTTTCATCATTCAAATAAAATATCCTGCAAAGAGAGAAAAATTATAAATATATATATATTTTTTATTTTTAAAACTTTTACGAAACTTTTTTGGGTAATTAAAAAATTATTTTTTTTATAACTAAAGATCACAAAAATCTAAGTTCTTTTCTTCCATAACAAAAAAAAATAAAAGAATCAAAAATACTTTTCAACCAAACATCCTTAAATTTTAGCTAGAAGTCCGGAGACGGTGATAATGGCTCAATTCCTCGTGTTCATCTTGCACAATCAAACTTCCCCCCTCTAGTCATCTTCCATTTTTCCACAATCGAAGTGGGTGGCTTTATCTGCATTCAGAAAAAATATCACCCGTCACTTATGCCAGCAGTTTCGGTCATGACCCATATTTGTGCCCTTAGTTCTCTTTGTTAAGAAATTAAAAAAAATTATTTATTTTTTCTATTCATCAGAACAAGACTAAAATGCAAATAATCCAAAGGAGCTATATAAGAAGCCATACCCGTTGGGCTCCTTGAATGTATAAACGAATAACATATGGACAAAAATCTTAAAAGCCCTAACTAGCCGGCTTCTCTTGCTTAAAATATATTCTATTAAACAAATATTGAAATTTTTTTCTTCCGAGTTACACTTCTTCCTTTTACAAAGTTTGACTTTTGAAAAATTGAGCTTTCCCCCACAAGCGGAATTTTTCCCCAGACAGTTGAGAGCTCATTTGCATCAAAATACTATGGGAGTTTAACTCCAAGGGTAATTAATATAATTTTCTTCCTATTTTAGACTTCGGTTTCTATTATTAAAAAAAAAAAGATTTTTTCAAGATAATCACAACATTATCAGGAATTTGGATTTTAACATTGCTGGTCAAAACTTCTTTTCATTGAGATGTAGACGGCTCATCCACATGACAACTTTAATCTAAAATATGAGAGATAAAAGGCAAGTGAGGATATTTTTAAAAAAATTAAAATTTCAATTTTAAGAACGATAATAATATCTTTGGAGTCTTGTATAATTGATCGTAATGGGTGGTTGCAGCTCCAAATAAAAAATTTATGACGGGTGGTTCGGTCTGAGTCAACGTCAACCTTCCATTACCGGAAGTGGATGACTCCGCCGCGCACGAACGGTGCTGCATTATCGGCACTATGGACCAACCCAACTAGATAAACTTGCTCTTGCATGTACACAGCATGCTAAGCCAGAAAGTTGAAATGGATGCTGGTGGTTTTCAAACAAGGTGCACAGGACTCACTCCAGACCCGCACGGGTCCAAGTCTTCTTTTCTAGAACGGGTCTGGATTCAAATGTTGTAGGACCCGTCCAGACGCCTCTCGTTACCATCTCAACTAATATCAAGTTTATATAAGACAAAAGGTTATAAGTTTCAAAAAAATTATTAACAATTAACTTTCTTTATGTTAGTAGAAAATTTTACATTGAATACTCAAGAAAATCAACACCTTCGTCATGAAAAATTATACCAAAACATAATAAAACTGAATAAAATTGAAATAATAATATTAATATCAAAAAACTATAATTTTAATTTTAATATAAATTTTTTTAAAAAATTTAACTTGTATAATTTTATAATTTACAAAAAAATTAAAAAAAAAATGGGACAGTGTTCACCGATACGTTCGTCTAACCAAAAATGGGGAGGGGGGAATCAAACATGGCCCACAAAATTCTGGTCACGGGCATCCTCTCCAACCAAAGAAAACAAATACATCCCCTCCAAAATTCAAAAAAAAAAAAAAAAAAAAAATTCCTGCTATATAACTAAGAGCAGACAGACGGACCTTCGCTCATCCTACTCCCCCGAAGAAATGGCTTCAAGCTTAGTCATTCTACTCGTCCCTCTCCTCCTTCTACCACTTCTCCGAGCCTCCCTCGCTGGTGAAATCGCCATCTACTGGGGCCAGAACGGCTTCGAGGCAACCCTATCCCAGACCTGCGACACTGGCCGCTTCGCCTACGTCAACATCGCCTTTCTCTACATTTTCGGCAACGGTCAGGTCCCCAGGATCAACCTTGCCGGCCACTGCGACCCCGCCGGCGGCGGCTGCAGAGCCATCAGCGACGAAATCCGGCACTGCCAGAAGCTCGGCGTCAAGGTCATGCTCTCCATCGGCGGCGGTGTCGGCAGCTATACTCTCGCTTCTAAAGCAGACGCCAAAAACGTCTCAAGGTACGGAGATAATATTTTACACAATTATATTTTGATATATAGATAATTTAATGATATGTATTTCTACAGTTACTTGTGGAATACCTTCCTTGGTGGGAGCTCGACGAATCGACCTCTGGGCCAAGCGGTTTTGGATGGTATTATTGTAATTTTTATGGAATAGCAGCTTGAATTGTGGAATAGTTTTTATTTCTAATAATCGGATATTATTTAATTTAAAAATAAAAAAATAAAAATAAAATGGGCTATTATGGTCCCTTTACGTAGGGTTACTAATCAGACTAATTTAGACTAATTCCTTTTAGAGAGAGAAGGAAAAGGAATGGCTGGAAAGCAAGCAATTCATATAGGTTGTTTGGTTTCCTTAATGCTCCGATAACACATTATTATGTAATGATTTCATACATGAATTGCAGGTATTGATTTCGACATCGAGGGCGGGTCGACCCAGTACTACGACGACTTGGCAAGATACCTGGCAGCGTATAGCCGCCCGGGGAGGAAAGTGTACTTGACGGCGGCGCCGCAATGTCCCTTTCCCGACCAACATTTAGGGGCGGCGCTGAACACCGGCCTTTTCGACTACGTTTGGGTCCAGTTTTACAACAACCAACCTTGCCAGTACGCTTCAGGAAACTTCAATAATCTTGTAAATTCATGGAATCGTTGGACGACGTCGGTGAACGCCGGAAAGATATTCTTGGGACTGCCGGCGGCGCCGCAAGCAGCCGGAAGTGGGTTTATTCCGACGAACGTGCTGGTGTCGAAGATCTTGCCGGTGATAAAGAAGTCACCCAAGTACGGTGGTGTAATGTTCTGGTCCAAGTACTGGGATGAACAGACTGGTACACCACTGCCATCAAGAGCAGTGTTTAATTAATTGGATGGAAGTTTGAAGTAGTTTTTGTTGTTTTGTTTAGCCAATAAAATGTGATAATAAGAACTGAGACACTGAGAAAGTCATTTCTCTGTGAGAGTAATACTACCACATTAAAATTTTCAAGCAGGTATGTTTCTTTTGATTTAAACTTCATGCATCGAGTCTAACGATCCCATGGAAAACATGTCTGGGAGACAAATCCAGAACTAGGGGGAATTTGGCTTCTTTCCAACGGCTTCAGAGGGAGTTTTTCCTTGATGTGAAATTGGCTTATTCAATAAAAAGAAAAAGGCAGCTTGTTGAAGTAAATCTATCAAAAAGCTTGCTAAAACTTGGTCTTTAATTGGTAAATTATTTTCTAATAGCAAATAAAAAGTCCAATTTCGAAAGTGCTTTATAAGCTCGCTTTTTTTTGACAGCTCTCTTTCTATTTATTTCTATACAAGGTGCTTTTTCTTAATAAAAATTTGTAATTTTTTTGATTTTTTGTTATTAACATCTAATTATATACGTAAAATACAGTTAAAACAAAATTTTATACAACTTAATTCTATGCTATACAACATAAGAAGAATTCAATATAGCTAACTCATATTTTTATTATAGATAAATTATTGATTATTTTAATAAATTTTAAAAATATTTTACTTGAAAGAGGACAACGTGTTTGTCTTTTCGGACCTCACGAGTCTTTCCCACTTGAAAGTTTCGAGCTAAGCCCATGTCCAATCCTCTCAGCCCACCTAACTGGACCTGGGCTTTAAAGAGGCCCGCTCAGTTGACACCTCCTCTGACCTGTATTTTATTTATTTATTTATTTTATTTTCAAACAAACACCCCCCCCCCCCCACCCCAACTTCTCTTTCTTTCCTAAAGTCTGGAAACATTAATACATTAACAATTCAACAATTGCGGGTTAAAATTTCCGATGGTGCACAAGTAAATGATTTAATCTATATATGTTTGTCGATTAAAAATTCTTGTACTTATGAGTTTCCTTTTTCAAACTTGTGGTTGCATAAACATGCTTATTTTTAGGTAGCACCTTGACTATTAGTCCGATTAAAATATATTAAATTTATTAATATGATTAATATTTAACCTATAGTAAAATAAGAAAAATCATTTATACATGTTCATATTCTTCCCTAGTCAAATTATTTATTGTATGTTATTGTCATTGGTTGTCCAATACACTGTTAAGTGTGGTTAATATAAAACGGAAGTTGTTTAGATTTTTCTTTAAATTTTTTTATACTCTTTGGTTGAATATAAAAAAAATTAGCAAGTAAGTTATATATATATATATATATATATACCTGTTTTTATACAATTTTGAATTATTATATAGTTATTTTATCTTGTTTTAACTAAATAATTTATTTATTTTATTTTATTCTAAATATACGAATCACATGTTCTTAAATACAGTTGTTATATATACATCTGTAAATTTATTTTTATATTTTTATCTAAAATTATTTATAAGTTTCATAAGATTTATAAATTTGTATTATTTTTGTTGCACAAATCTTATAGTAACATATACACTTAATTTACTATTTAATCTGTAAAATTCATAAAAAGTTCTGTTAAAATTACCCAAAAAATTTCATTACAAAAGAATGTGTTAAAATTTTAACCTTTAACAGTCTAAATATGTAAAAGTTACTAATATTAAAAAAAAATATTTACATGATAATTTTAAAATATTTATTTTTATAATTTTAAGTGTAAAAAAAACTGCTCTAATGTTTTAAAAATCAGACCGGACTGCTTGATTTGATTGGTTCGATTATGAATCGGCCTAATAAATAATTTGAGTGATACTTTAAAATAAAAAATGAGGTTCGACCAATTAAAATCGATAAAATCAATCAATTTTTACCCATTTTTAAAACTAATTTGGACACTGCCCAGTCTAATGGTTCAAAAATTAAAATCATCATTCCCTCTCCCACCTCTCTTTCTCTCTCTCTCTCTCTCTCTCTCTCTCCCCCCCCCCCCCCCCCCCCACAAATTTTTCAACCCCCCAACACATTAGTTCAAAATTTTCCCAACCCCCCCCCCCCCTTAGTTGTATAAAAAAAAATTTAGATAAAATATTTTTATTATATTTTTTACAATATATTTTATTTTATTCAAAACTTAAAAATTTAAAAAAATATAAAATAGTAAAATTTAAATTTTTAAAAAATATTATTTCTTGAAAATTTTAATTGAAATTATATATATATTTATATATACTTTTTTGAAATGATCATATAATAATATAAAATATATTAATGTTACCATACTATCTATAATCTTTAGTATTATATAAATTTTAACTAAAAATATATAGATAGACTATACTAAATTTATTAAAATTTTTAATTTATTATTTAATATTTTTTTAATAATTGATTTGACCAACAATTAAACTAATTAAACTGATTAAATCGTGACTCAGTAATATTGCTAATTTGATCACTGATCTAACTTTTAAAGCACTGAACAGTTTTCGTTTGCTGGAGCCCCCACACAGCCTGTTTGAATTTATCACTTCTGGTTAATTCGAATAACAACTACAATCACGCTTTCCGTCTACTTTGATTTCTTCTTACTAGTGTCACCACCTCTCTCTAACGGATATAACTTCTCACGAATTTAGTATAATAATATCAAAGTTTAACTCTTACGGTAATTTAGTATATTTTTCTTTTTGTTTTGGGGTTCGACCCCTATTATTAGAAAAAAAAAGTTCCTTTGAAGATAATCATGATATTATCATAAATTTTGATTCTAATGTTATTAGTAATAACTTATTTTGATTGAGATTAGGGGAGTTGATAATTTGACTTGATTTAGTTTAGTTTGATTTGATACTTAAATTCAAATGAAAGTACACTTTATAATTTATAATTTTTATAAACAAAATCGAATCATAATTTTATAAAAGTTATCTTTTATCTTATATTTTATATTATATTAAATTGTTTTATAGAAAAGAAAGGGAAATTGGGGTGGGCAGGGGGGGGTTGGAGGTGTTTGAAAATTAAAAAAGAATAATAATAATAATAATAATACAGGTCGGTGGAGGTATCAACTGGAGCGGGCCTCTTTAAAGCCCAGGTCCAGTTAGGCGGGCTGAGAAGTTTGGATATAGGCTTATATCTCATAATTTAAAATAAATCATTTTCTAAACTGAATTAAACGAAATCAAATCACGATTTTAACAATTTAAATTGTTTAATTCAATTTGTTAAACACTTTTGATTAATGCGTGAATGGGTCATCCATAAAACAACTTTTATATAAAACATGAGAGACAAAAGACAAATGAGGATATTTTTCAAAAATTAAAATTTCAATTTTAAGTACAGTAATAATATCTTAAGAGTCTTGTATAATTGATCATAATGGGAGTTACAGCTCCAAATAAAAAATTTACAATGGATGGTTCAGTCTGAGTCAACGTCAACCCCTCTGGTTCCATTACCGGAAGTGGGTGACTCCTCCGCCCACGAACGGTGGCGCATTATCAGCACTATGGACCAACCCAATTTGATATGCTGGTGGTTTTCAAACAAGGTGCAGTCGCACATGGATCTGGTTTCTTTTTTTTTGTGTAGATTTAAATTTAAATATTATATAATCATCCAGACCTATTCTATTGCCATTCTTATTGATGTCGAGTTATTTACTAGAAAATTTTATATAAAATAAATGGTTATAATTGTCAAAAAACGAATTATTGAAAATTAGCTTTATTTATTTCACTAGAGAAATTTACATTGAGTATTCAAGTAAATCAACGCCTTCATGTAACCAAAAAAAAATGGGGGAACAAAATCAAACATGGCCCACAAAATTCCGGTCACGGGCATCCTCTCCTCTCCAACCAAAGAAAGAAAAAATACATTCCCTCAAAAACTCGAAAAAAAAAAATCCTGCTATATAATTAAGAACAGACGGAGGAACCTTCGCTCATCCTACTTGCCCCAAGATATGGCTTCAAGTTCAATCATTCTACTAGTCCCTCTCCTCCTTCTACCACTTCTCCGAACCTCCCTTGCTGGTGAAATCGCCATCTACTGGGGCCAGAACGGCTTCGAGGCAACTCTATCCAAGACCTGCGACACTGGCCGCTTCGCCTATGTCAACATCGCCTTTCTCTTCATTTTCGGCAACGGTCAGGTCCCCAAGATCGACCTTGCCGGCCACTGCAACCCCGCCGACGGCGGCTGCATAGCCATCAGCGACGAAATCCGGCACTGCCAGAAGCTCGGCGTCAAGGTCATGCTCTCCATCGGCGGCGGTGTCGGCAACTATACTCTCGCTTCTAAAGCAGACGCCAAAAACGTCTCAAGGTACGGAGATAATATTTTACACAATTATATTTTGACATGTAGATAATTTAATGATATGTATTTTCTACAGGTACTTGTGGAATACCTTCCTTGGTGGGTGCTCGTCGAATCGACCTCTGGGCGATGCGGTTTTGGATGGTATTGTTTGTGATTTTTACGGAACAGCAGCTTGAATTATGGAATGATTTTTATTTCTAATAATCGGTTATTATTTCATTTAAAAATAAAATGGGTTATTATGGTCTTTTTACGTAGGGTTACTGATTAGACTAATTTAGACTAATTCCTTTTAGAGAGAGAAGGAAAAGGAATGGCTGGAAAGCAGACAATTCAAATGGGTTGTTTGGTTTCCAATTTGATTAATGCTCCAATAACACATTATTATGTAATGATTTCATACATGAATTACAGGTATTGATTTTGACATCGAGCTCGGGTCTACCCACTACTACGACGATATGGCCCGATACCTGGCAGCGTATAGCCGCCCAGGGAGGAAAGTGTACTTGACGGCGGCGCCGCAGTGTCCCTTTCCCGACCAACATTTGGGGGTGGCGCTGAACACCGGCCTTTTCGACTACGTTTGGGTCCAGTTTTACAACAACCCACCTTGTCAGTACGCTTCAGGAAACTTAAATAATCTTGTAAATTCATGGAATCGTTGGACGACGTCGGTGAACGCCGGAAAGATATTCTTGGGACTGCCGGCGGCGCCGCAAGCAGCCGGAAGTGGGTTTATTCCGACGAACGTTCTGGTGTCGAACATCTTGCCGGTGATAAAGAAGTCACCCAAGTACGGTGGTGTGATGTTCTGGTCCAAGTACTGGGATGAACAGACAGGGTACACCACTGCCATCAAGAGCAGTGTTTAATTGATCGGATGGAAGTTTGAAGTAGCTTTTGTTGTTTCGTTTAGCCAATAAAATGTGACGATAAGAACTGAGACACACAGAAAGTTATTTTTCTGTGAGAGTAATATTGCCACTTTAAAATTTTCAAGCAGGTCTGTTTCCTTTGCTTTAAACTTCATGCATCAAGTTTAACGATCCCATGGAAAACATCTTTGGGAGACAAATCCAGGACTAGGGGGGTTTTGGCTTCTTTCCAACGGCTTCGGAGGGAGTTTTTCCTTGATGTGAAATTGGCTTATTCAATAAAAAAAAAGAAAAAAGAAAAATGCAGCTTGTTGAAGTAAATATATCAAAAAGCTTGCTAAAACTTGGTCTTTAATTTGTAAATTATTTTTTAATAGCAAATAAAAAGTCCAATTTCAAAAGTGCTTTATAAGCTCACTTTTTTTCACAGCTCTCTTTCTATTTATTTCTATACAAGGTGCTTTTTCTTAGTAAAAAATTGTAATTTTTTTGATTTTTTGTTATTAATATATAATTATATACGTAAAATACAGTTAAAATAAAATTTTATACAACTTAATTCTATTCGATACAACATAAGAAGAATTCAATATAGCTAACTCATATTTTTATTATAGATTAATTATTGATTATTTTAATAAATTTTAAAAATATTTTACTTGAAAGAGGACAACGTGTTTGTCTTTTCTGACCTCACGAGTCTTTCCCACTTGAAAGTTTCGAGCTAAGCCCATGTCCAAATTTTTATCTAAATTATTTATAAGTTTCATAAGGTTTATAAATTTGTATTATTTATGTTTTACAAATCTTATAGTAACAAATACGCATATATTTACTATTTAATCTGTAAAATTCGTAAAAAATTCTGTTAAAATTACCAAAAAAAATTCATTACAGAAGAACGTGTTAAAATTTCAACCTTTAACAGTCTAAATATGCAAAAGTTACTAATATAAAAAAAAAAAACAATATTTACATAATAAACTTTAAAATATTTAATTTGATAATTTTAAGTATAAAAGAAACCGCTCCCGCCCGCTGGAGCCCCCGCGCAGCCTGCCTGAATTGATCGCTTCTGGTTAATCCGAATAACGACTACAATCGCGCCTTCCGTCTACATTGATTTCTTCCCACTAGTCTCACCGCCTCTCTCTAACGGTTATCTCGGCTTCCGCCTTCCCGCTCCCCGCCTAACCCTTACCCTCCTTCTTTTGCCAGTATATATATCCGGTTGTCCCTGCTACAAGATTGGATTGTAATTGCAAGAAATAGCAAAAAACTCAAATCTGCAGAATTTCCATTTCAGTGCAGCTCAGAATCTGAAACAGATCATGTAAGCTGCAGAAACCAGAGCTATACTGTAGAAGTTGAAGCACCAGTGCGGAGTTTTCGAATTTTTCTTTGACTGAATTTGTGTTCATTCCATCTTTCAATTTCTAGTTTATTCTAGGTTATTTGCTTTCTGTTGTTCTGGTTAGTTTACTTTTTGGAATCTGTTTTCAGTTAGTGTAGTTTCAAGTTTTAGCTGTTGTTTTCTGTTTTTCTGCCTTCCTTGCTAAATTTCTGTTATTATTATTATTATTATTCTTTTGGTTAGCTTTATTGGTTCCCGTATGTGCAGTTCACTATTGTGCTTCATTAGTACCACTTCTGCAGTTCATTAACATTAAGCAAGCAGAGCCCAATTCCAATGTGAAAACAAAGGAAGTTGCAGCTGAATTCTGTCAAAGCTCAGTACAGCTTCAGACAGAAGCCAACTAGAAGCAATTAGCAAGCCGCAACCAGCAGAAGCCCCGTGGCAAGGCTCTGGTCCAGCAGGTGTGCAACCCATCTGTCAAAGCCCAATTGCCATTCCAGAAAGGAGGAACATAAACCAAATGCAGCCCATTGCAAGCTCAGAAAGCCCTACTCTATATCTAGACCGACTCCAGCCCGACAACACAAAGCAAGCAGCCAGACCGTGAGAATGCATCCAGAAGCTAAGAGTAAACCTGAGAAGCTTAAGTTTGCAATACCAGCCCAGTCCATGTACAATTCCGTTCAGGTACCAACTGAAGCCCGCCCAATCATGCACTAGCAGGTCAGCCTGCATTCAGTCCAGTCCAATCTCAGTATTTCAGAAAACCAACTTGCAATCAAGCCAGGACCTTTACTCCACAGCACAGGCCTGCAGACCAGTAGTTCATCACAGCCCATTCCAGCCCTGTATGCAATACCAGCCCCTTTGACCGCTTACAGCTTGAAGCCTACAGCCAGCTCCAACAGTACACCAGCCCAAATTCCCAGTGGCCAAAATCCAAAAGCCTGAACAGCAGCACAATTAAAGTAATCCAAGTCTGCCTACTTTCCATATGACAGCCTCTTGTCAGCCCAATTAAGTTTAGCCCATTCACCAACTCAGCCCAGTCTGAAGAACCCAAGTGCAGCTTACCTTTCCATCCAGCCCATTAGCAAACAACAGCTTGCGCCACACGGTTGAAGCTCATTCCTCAGCCTAGCAACGAGCCCAGTTTGAAACTTGCACTACAACACCAGCACATCAGGTCCTCACCAGCTGCAACCAAAACGTGAATCTTAAATCTGCAGATAGCCCAATAATGATGCCAAATCCAAGTTCAGTGGCCCAAAAGCTGGAAACATGATCCGCCATCAGTCCGGGTCTTCGTAGCACTTGCGTAAGTTTAACAATTAGGACATCAATATTCCTACTGTTGGGGTCTGTGCAGTGTTTGATTTAAACCCTTGGTTCAACGTATCTGTATTATTTTCCAGTTTAATGACAAAATTTGGAAATCTTATTTGTTCCATGAGTTCAAAATGTATGATTGATGTGTGAACTTTGCCACCTGCTATCTGGTATTTGTCAAATGTTCCAGTTTGTAGGTCAATTTCCAACTCTGAAAGATTAAACCACTTCTTATCTACTGTGTTGACTCTTTTTTCGATGTTAGTTTATATATTTGCTCACTCAATAGTAAGTTTATATGAATGATCAAAGTTATACAATTCTGTGTTATTGAGATCATCTGACGTCATGAATGATTCACCGGCCTAAAAAGCAATTAGATGAACGAAAACTTGTGAGGATGACCCTTGATGCTGTATGATATCTAATTTTGTTTAACAATAAATTAGAAAGCTTCTGGTTATTTGGTGAATTCGTTAATAACATTGTTTCTCCCTCAAATAATTTTACCGCCAGGCCCGAGGAATGAATTACTAGCACCATTGCTCACCTGTGATTGTTCATCGTGATCTAAATCTCCAAATATGCCTGTTGATAAGAATTGGGTTGTGAAGGTGATTTTTGATCTCATTATTGAGAACCTTATGTGAAGCATTGCCCATCTTTAGTTGCTGATCCACTTTGACTTGGTTTTCTTTTCATTAGGTTTGTGATTTGGGGTTATCTCGAATGAAACACAGAACATTTATTTCTTCAAGATCGACGGCAGGGACTGTAAGCTGCTGTTAGCTGTTCAGCACTGGAGCATTTTTATCTTGCTGTGTTTTGTTATTTCTTTCCTTTTCAATCTATGCCTCTTTTTTTTATTTTTATTTTTTAACTCTTTACTCTTGTTATTGTTATTTAACCTGTTGGTCTGACTTCCATTATTTACCATTTATATTATTCTCCACTTGTTGCTTACATATTTTTCTTTCTGTGACGTATTTCCTTGATGCCTTTTCTTATGGAGGATACCAAGGCTATAGTCTAAATTTAAGAATTTGGTTATTTTGGCTACCTCATTTGATTATTAACTCCTTTCTTGAAGATACTCAGTGTTGTTGCTCTTTGTGCTTACGCCTTTCTAGATTTTTCTGTTGCAATTTTGTTCAGTGCGATGGTGCCAGCAATCAAGTTAAACAACACCATTAAAGTTGCTTTTTGCGGGAAAAATGCGCTTGACATCAACGTGTTGGTCTTATTAGAAGAGTGTAGAGGGATGTAATTATTCCATGATTTTTGCAAATCAACTGTGCCATGTTTGGACAGTTTTCTTGCATATTTATAGCAACTTCTCTGCCATCCTTAGGTTACTGTTTACTTTCTTCTCTGCTCGAGGCTGAGGCTAGTACAAGTTCTGTTCATGTTATTATGAAATTGGACTTTTGGAAAATGCTAACTAATGCAAATAACAATGGAATACCATGCAGTAATCCACACAACCACGTTACAATGTTCTTGACCTCTTGTTTTTTTGAAAAGTTAACATTTCATGAAAAATTTACAGCCTGGTCCTCGTCTTTTTAAAATTATGCATTATAGGCCAATAAGTTGGAAACTAAAATGTTACAATTTCCTGACTTACATATTCTTTTTTTATTTAAAAACTGAATGTAATAATTTATGCTCCATATGATAGCGTGTATCATAGAAAATTTTCGATTGACAAATTTGCACTCATTTTTTTTTTTTGACAATAACATCCACACCTTTAATTTTTCAATTACAAATTTAATTGCTATATTTATTCATTATCACATTACTTATATAAATTATTTAAATTAATTATAATTTGAAACCTCCACCCAAAATAAAAAAAAGTTTTCAGATAAAAAATATTTTAAATAATATATTTTTTACACAATTTTAGTTAGTAATTATAAAATAAGATTTTCTATTTCTATTTTTTAAAAAAAAAATCTTACCAGATACAAATATAATATAATTTTTCTCAGTATCATTTTAGTATATCTATTAATTTAATAAATTAAAATAAGATAAAAAAATAAATAATACTTTATCTTAGATGATGAAAATTTATTTACATTACTAGTCTCGATGGAATACCGTATCCGAGGGGGTATATGGATTTTGGAGGCTCTCTGCTCTGCATAGAAGCCAATTGGTGTTTACTGTTTAGCTACCTTAGTTTGAAAGTGTGTTTGAATTTTGAGGACTCTCTGCCGGGTTCAATTGGTACAATGGAACAGTATCTTTGGATTATTGACACTTATTCTAATAGATTCTTTATCTGCTAGAATACAGAAAC